CGTCGAAACATTCATCATTTAAAGGATAAGTTATATCCCGTCTTCGTCAGTTTCCTTTACTGGACGAAACATTTATTATTCAACGCTGGCATAAAAATAAAGATACGTACGATTGAAAATCAGCTGTTCCATGATAGCCAAATGTCTGGTGTATTCTGGTGTTGCCTGACTTTCTAGTCGACAGCGATATTTTACTCGTGAAATGCGAAAATAAGTTAATAAATTGTGTGTATTGGATGGGCGTATATACAGGGTGTCCTAGTTGTTTCCGACCATACTTTGTCAAACTTTGTCAGTATGTTCAGTGGGCGTAGGTAAGAAAGAAATGTTATATAAACATGGGTCGTTTGAAGCTTCGTTAAAAAGTTACAGCTGTGGTTACTATGATACATGACAAAAATGGCTCTGACGAAAATTACAGTCAGTGACTTGAAATCGTAAACACAGCTCGCATAAAAGACTACGTAGATATACGTATCGCTGATCTATTCTTATTTTGCATCATAATAACCGCACATCCGTGACCATTCTCTTCGTATTTCGTATTATCGTCATAACTTTTTAACAAAGCTTCAAAGGACCTATGTTTGTATAACATTTTTTTCTTAGTTACACCCGTAGTATATACTGACAAAGTTTGGCGAAATTTAGTCAGAAAAAAGTGGGACACCCGGTATATCCAGACTCATCGCGTACACTGCCGTTCGTAAATATTAGAACACCGATTAACCGTCATAACTTTGGACATCATGTTTGTAGAAAAAGTATTATACGATTTAAACGACATTTCTTCGACAAAGTTACTGTCATATATGAATAAAAAATATACAGGGTGTTCATTCTGTTAATTTCCACTCGTAAGTGGTAGATCTGTGAGAAAAATAAAAGAGGACGAAGTTTCGTTATTTTTTATGCGCAATACGACGGCTTGAACAGATTGTTCTTTAAATTTGCAATGGATTTCGTACTACCGACTCTCTCTCTCTCACGAATTACGCACACGCTCTCCTATATATACGTTCTCCGTAAATAAAGTGTTGAAAAGAATACGAAAAGAATTATTCCAACATCTCGCTATTACAGCCGCTATTGATCAAGCCGTACCGTAGTCTTTTTTTCTTCGCACAAAGAAAGAGAGAAGAAAGATCGCTGTTTTACATCTCATCGTGTATAAACGTTGTAACGTGTAATGCCTCTGCAAAAATTCGTGGTTCTTTGAGAGGAAAGAAGCAACACCGTACGGTGGACCGTTTGATATACAAACGAGAAGAGGGAAAGGGTGGTTGTTTAAAAGAAGACTCGATCGATCATTCTGAAACGATAGCCGTGCGCCGTGAGACTTTGGGTACACGCAGCGCTTTGACACTTTGCGAATGAGACGTCACATGGTCAGTGTCTTCTCTCTCTCTCTCTCTCTCTCTCTCTCCCTCCATATACCTCTCTTCCCTATTTTTTTCCTTTTTTTTTTTAATCCTTGCCGACGTGTTCTGCTTATCGATTACCGATCGTGTTTGTCCATGCGTGTCAAGCTCTCTGCACAGAAGTACAGAATCCTGCATTTCCTGGTTGACATTGAGATCGGTAGCGGATTCAACGGCGTGGCACTAAAAGGGCTCGACGATAAATCACTTGGGCAAATTCCTTGTAAAGCACTAAGTGCCGCGTGGCGTTTGAAAGGATCGCGCCAGGCCGCAATGGCGGCTGCAAGAATAATTATAAGACCGTATTCGGTCGAGTCCCGTTTCTAAACGGCTCGCGCCAGTGTATTCGAAGCTTGGCAATTTGAAGCTTGATTATTTCTTTCTTTTCCTTTTCTTTCTGCTTCTCCCTCTCTCTCTCTCTCTCTCTCCTTCCTCTCTATTTGCACGGGTTGAATTGCTTTATTATTACCTTTAGAAGGAACATTCTTGAAAGTTTCCCTCTTTTCAAGGATCTTTCATATACGCTCGAGAGTTGGAAAATTTGAACGTTTATAAATTGGCCCTCTTGTATTGCTCGTCTTATTCAAGCAGGTGGAATGTTTGAACAGTCTTTTGAACAATTTTCTATATGTACCGGAACCGGAGATTTTTGATTTTATATAATTGGTCCCGCGCGGGTTCCTTTTCTCGTTTCAATTGATAAGACACTTGAAACATCGTTTAAGTTGCCCCGTTGCTACGTCGGGGATGAATTATTTTCAGCGTGATCGAAAATTGAATGCTGGGAATAACGGTGAATTACTTTCCTCGTTTAAATAGGCGGGAGTATATTTGAAAGATCGCCGATTGATACGTTAATTCGTCTCTCGCTGTTGCGATAAGAGAAAATGGGGTTAAAAATTGTCCACGGTTGAATAATTTTGTAAAGTGTTTGAAAATGAGAGAAATTTGGAAATTTCTGATTCCGCTCGATTTTCTTTCTCTCGCTTTTCCTCGTTCGCGCAGGTGAAACTACCAGATTGATTTACCTCGATATTATCTTTAGAAAAATGGGTTAAAGAGAGGTTGTATGGTTTCGAGGGGAAGCGTAAGCTGGATCAAGTGAATTCTTTCTCGGCGGAGGCATTTCAGAGATTCGAAGGTTAAGTCTAAGAAGACTCTCTCGTAAAGAATAGTGCTGCACGTCTTTGCCGCAAAATGTACGTGTTTTGTAAGAATTTAATTCCTCCCGAAGAAATAGGAAGATGTGTTTAACATGATCCATCGCTCTTGAAATTATAAATTAACAGATAGTAAGTTTATCGAGAGCAAAGGTACTTAGTCAAATAATAAATCAAAAAATGTATTAATTTATATATAATTAGTACAGTGGATGCCGGTTAAGTGGGACCGCCGTTTATTTGGGACAGATACTGAAGAACGGAATATAAATACGTGTTTATTTACTTATTAATGTTATTTTATTACTTATTGTTAGCTTCGTTTGCATGCTTAAACACACATTTGTATTCAAGACCGAATATTACATACGTTTTTCAATAAATCCTTTTTGGCTTCATTTTTTACGTTGTTCAGATTTTGCCTGTTGAAATTCGCTTTTTTGGGACAAACGTGAATAAAATTGAAATATTAGGGAGAGACTGATGGACCCTCTTTAAATATCTTTTTTCTTTCTTCACCAAGAATTAAGTTGTTACCAAACGTGTAATTGTGTGGTAAAGATGCTGCTTTGTAAATTTACAAATTTAATAATAATAATTACTGAATAACACTTATTTTATCGCATCGCTTAATGTGAAAAAGTGATTTCAAGCGTTTTCGTCCCGTATAAACTTTAGGAATATGCCGTTTCGATATGGTGTCGTAACCAAGTCAGACAACATCCTCTTCGTTAAAACTTTCTATAATGACCGTTCTTTTCGGTACCAGATTAAAAATCAACAACGAGAAGTTCTTGTGTACTTACTTAACGTAATGACATTTGCAATCTTCGTGCAATGCTTGCGACATTTTATGGACATATGCAAACATACATTTATTATGCAATTTGGATAAATTGACCCTGCATTATTTTACGTAATCCTTGTTATTTGCAAAAGCGGAAACAGACGGAAAAATTGAATAATACAGTGTTTGATATAGATACACGCAATTTCTATGTGATTGACGTACTATAAAGTATTGGATTATGGGAGTTGTTGGTTGTTAAATAATTAATAGTCCTTATTTTAGACTATAAACTTTTATTAGACGCAAGGAAGGTTCGCTTTTCTACTTGATGGTAAGAGCACTGTATTCTCCTACGCAACGCCCTAATATTGCCTACGACCCCACTTGGGACCGGAAGGGCCTTTTGTCACGTATCATAAACATTTAGTTCTTTACTAAACAGTGGTGGATAAAGCTAAACGGATTTCTCCGAACGTGTACAAAAGTAATATATACTTCCTAGTAAGGCGTTAGATTAATTTTTGTTATATCCAACTGACTGATAAATCCAACATAAAGAACAAAATATTTCATGGTACTCGTTAGGTAATTAATTCGATTTATTGAAAATAAACTATATTAACCCTTTGAGAACGATAGACTCATATATGCGTTCAGAAAATACTATTATATATGTAGGGGATTTTTGTGTGGAGGGATAGTGAACTCGAACGGACTTTTGACTATAATATATTTATTAATAGTTTATATCGCTACGCTAGGGATGTCGCTCAATTAATCGCTGGATTCACACTGCCTTTCGCTCTCTCGCATTCGCCCTAATGTCGTCTTGCATACATGCACACTTTTCCATAGAAGAAAACACACACGCACTCACGCACTCCTCGCCTGATTACTAAAACTAAACATTCGTTCAATATCGTTCGCGCTATCCCAAACACTCGACCTGGCACGCCGGTCCTTACCGCTCACGCCATAGACCCTCACGCATTCACACAGACAACGCATTCATACAGACACGCACTCACGCTCGGTCATCCCTACATATATATATATATATTTTTCAGCAATAATTTTTATTCGTAAGTTTCGCTGTTTGATATTTTGAGAGCTAAGTTCCGAAAGTTGAAAATCTATGAAATCTGAAAATTTGGACATTGTAGAATGAGGTGGTGAATTTACACATCTGAAAAGTTGGAAAATTGGGAAACTTGAAATTTTGTACTGGACAGTTTCGATATTTGATATTTCGACAGGTGAAAGTTGGAAATCTTCAAAATTTGACAATTTCGACACCGGAAGATGAAATAAAATACTAAAAGATCTGAAAAGTTGGGGAGATTTGTATTTTAAAAATTTATGTTTTAGCAATGAACATAATTACCGGTGCTCGTAAACTCGTGCAGTGTAATTTTGACATAATTTAATTTTGATCTAATTATATGTTACACAAGTAATGGTGTACTTCGGCACGTTTCGTTGTCCTTCGCTCGCCAAACGACTCGTGAAACGATGGTTTGCATAAAAACTAATTAAAGCGATCAAATTACACGTTCGAAAATATTCAATTATTGTCACCTGGATTCTTCGTGCGACATTTCGAATAAATCGTTCAATTTTTCCTACCAGGCGCTCTCGATAGAGATAGCGACGAAAGGAAAGATGTGGACACCGTTCTTCTGCTACCATCCGACGCGAGAGATCGCTTCATCAGACCGATGGCAGCTTTCGATTTCCCCGATACGAGCTTCGACGACAGCCTTGAAAGTCCATCCTGGATCAGATGGAACTTCTTCGATACGTGGTACTCCAGCATACAAGGTACGTGAAAGGGAATTTTCCTATGTGTGCTTGGGAAAAAAAATTCGATCGATTTGTAAATTTTATTGACCGTGGAAGGAATGAGAAATTGGAATCTTTAAAAAGATAACGAGCTATGTGCTGGCCTCTCGTGAAAATCATTCGCACGTAACTCTATTACGTGAAATTCTTTGTTGCATTATGTTATGTTAGAATATTTCTTTTTCATTTTGAAATGGTAGCACAGACGCCGATGTTAGTGTACCACCTTGTTCTTGTACGCTTTCAATTTTGAAGTGATTACAAATCTATGTTACGAGTCTTGTAATAAAATTTAAGATAATTTTTCGTTGCGTTTGTCAAACTAAGGGAAACGAATGAATAAATAAAAATGAATAACGTTTTTAAAAATTTGTTGCGCAATAGAATTTACAAGAGTATCCAATGTCGTATACCTCTCTCCTATCTTTCATTAGTTTTTAGTTATCCTGCCTCCTTTCCTTAACTATAAACAAATCCGCATCATCCTAACGTTAGTCACCCCGAAACCTAGACCTCCACATCATCCTTTACTCATCGCTGAACCTAGACCTCACCGCCTCTCCCTACATTGACCTCTGAGACCAACCCCTACTCTCGTACTTACCGAACCTATATCTAGAAACCTTTTCCATCGAAACAGCAGATTTTTGTCTAGCGGTCTTCACGCACCGAACGTCACCGAACTGTCGAATAAAGTCGAATAGTACTACGCGCAGAATAGCTCCCTTATTTCGCCCCAGTTTCCGTCAGGCTCTCCTACCGCGTACCTATTGAATATAATAAACCAACGCAAGGAATCGCGAGCCGCGAAATACAACACCAATCACAAAAATATTAGGGGAGAGTCGTGCAGTACCGGCCAAAGCTAGATCTCGCTCGTACCGTTAGTTGACTGCACTGTTGATGGAAAAACAAATGAATACTATAGCCCTGAGCAACGTATTCTGGCGACGTTCTGTTTTCTTGGGTATTACCGGAGTTCTAAGACGTTTAACGTTTACGCTGATGTTCCGTACGACAAAAGTTACTTTTCATAGCTGCAACGGTTGGGCTCACGTGGAGTGTGTACGGATCAAGAAAATATCGATCACTTTACCTGTGATATCTGTAGACGTGCCTAAATAAAAGCTCTATTCTGTTTTTAAATTATTTATCACTTAGACCTTAAAATCTACCGACCAAGTAGCTGGCCGGTACTGTACGACAATTTTTCGTTCGTTGCAAATTACAACTTTTTCATTTCTACCAATTATTTATCTTTATGAGAAAATTTAAGAAAAACCATTTGTCCCCTTTTGTCAAGCACCCTTTGTACTACAAATTACTTTTTTGAAATTTCATTTTTACCAACATCAACCGAAATTATAGTGCAAAAACTTAGTACAATTCTCAATTTGAATGATACAATGTAAATGTTTTTTATCGTCGTATACGACAAATATTTCCATCGTAAAATTTACAAAAAATACCTAATCTCAGTCACTGTACATAACTATCGTTGTCACCTTTTCGATAAACTTCCGGTTTGGCTGAATGTTCCCACGGTTTTAAGTCGTTCTCCATTGAAATTAAACATTTTGCCGAATCTCGAAGAGAAAGAAACCGCTGAAAGGCGTTTTCAATATCCTGCCGTTTCCTAAATCGTTTTTGTGTATGGAAATTGTCGGATGAGCGAGAAAAGTGAAAATGAGGGGAATATGGAGGATGAGGTAGAACTTCAATTGTCACGCGAAAAGATAGCAACTTTTCTCTTAATCGTAGCTGGTACCACTGTGTCTTCAGTTTCTAGAGGGCAGCCTTCAGTTCCTTACTAAAAAACTCTGCAGTGATCTAAAATAATTAATCTCGAAGTAGACAACCAAACTGCGAGCATAATTTTTCTCAGGTGTAAACTAGATTTGGATCGTGAAGATTCATTTGCGTCTTTCTTTCTCTTAGAGACTCCAATTTTTATGATACGTCGGCAAAAGTTTATCTCGTTTTTCAAAGTGACCGGCTTAAAACCGCGGGAACTGTCAAGACGATCGTTCCAATAACTTAGAGCTAGTAGGGGTGACAGTAGAGGAGGGTAGTGCCGCGTTGGAATCATGGATCAGGTATAACATAGAATCAGCTAAATAGACTCGTAGTCGCGCGATCGGAATGACCGCACGCGTGCCGCGTAGACCGCCGCAGAAACGCGATCACGGTTCAACAGGCGCAAACATAAAATTACACGGATTCGCGCGCGACCGTGTCCGTGTTCCGCTTACATGCGGTTTGTCAAACGTAACTTCCGGTAGCCTGGCGCGGCCGTAATACCCGCGCGCAATCGGCCTGTATACGGTAGGCCGATTGTCGTTTCCCGCGGTGATACACGCGCGTTCCCGTTCCTCGTGTGCTTTCGTGAAAGTAGTATCGACGTCCGACGTGGAAATTTCTCGAATTTCCGACGCTTTGCCGTTCCTCGTTACGCACACAGACACAGGACACAGACGCAGAAACGTCGTGGAACCGTGTAATCGTCGTTTCGCGATAACGTCAAGGGGGGAAAGTAGGGAGGAAGGAGAAACACTTTGGTAATAAATGAATAACGATCGACGGTGATTAGTTGCAAATTAGATACGTACACTCCCTTTCAGAAGTGTCAAGACACTTATCGAGCGTGAAGCAAACGTAAACGGTCGTTAGGAAATTGTCGAAGTTGCGAGAAAAATGAATTAGTCTAGAATGTCGTGGTACAACATGTATATACAGGGTGTCCCAATTATTTTCCATCGAACTTTTTGAAACTTTGTCAGTATGTTCTACGGGTATTTGTAAGAGGAAAGTGTTATATGAACATAGGTCGTTAGAAGCTTTGTTGGAAAATTTTTAGCAAAAATTGAAACGCAGAGGGAGCGTTAACAGGTTTGCAGTTACTGTGATACGAGATCACGAGACCGATTTTCGGTGACTTTCCGTTCACGCCGCGTGGATCGTATGCGTCCCACATTGTCCAGACTAACAGTTTTGCTTTTCGCCCTATATGTCTTCCAATATTTATAAGATTGCACAAATCATCGTTATCGAGAAAAAGGTAACGGTTTAAGATATGCTATAGAGCAAAGGAAAAATTTTTGTTTTAACAAATTTTAAGTTAGCGGAAGGAAAAGGCCGAAATATCAGATGGCCTGAACGGAAAGACCAGAGTGGGGCGTATGCGACCCACGCGGCACGGAACGTGTTAAGGGTGAAACAATTGTAACGTTGAAAGTTGGAAGTTTATAGTAGTAAGAGATTGAAGATCTGCAGAATGTTCAGAATATTGGAAAGTTAGATTGCAAAATTTGTTCTATTCGAAATTTGAGAATTTCCAATGAAAATTGTAAATGTATTATGCTAAAAATTTGTGTTAAGTTTGAGAACTCGTTTTCTGATTGAGCTTTTGGTAAAATTATTATTGCGATAGAAATAATTAAAGAGTTGATTTTATTTGAATAAGAATTAGTTTATTGGCAGATGTTAAAACATCCGGTAATTTATCGACGCGTAAATTAATGGACGCAAATTGAGAACCACTATTCTAGAATAATGCAGAAGTTTCGAAGTCACTTCTGCGTTAAGTGTTCAAGCTATTCTTGAACGTGAAATAATACAGCAGTTTCAAAGTTACTCTCCTCATCGAGAAATATTGCAAAAGTTTCCAAGTTACTTTTGAACATAATGTACCGGTTCTGCAATTACTCTTACATTAAACAGCAAAGTTACTCCGAAACGTATAAACAAACATCCTTGTTCACGTGCGAGCCTGAAATAGCGTTACAGCAGTGTTGTATCTTGCCTAGTTTGCCATTTGTAAATTATTATATGATACATTCGTGTTAGAATATTTATTTTATATTTGTTATATACTGTATTGATATTATTTCTGAAAACTATGAATAAGAAACGTTTATTAGAATTCAAATCGTTGAAAATATGAAAATTCTTATTTGAAAATTTGAAAATGCGAGGACTTGAAAAGTTGAACATTGGAATGTTTGAAAATTCGAATAATTAAACATAATTCTGAGCATTTAAAAACTCGAAAGTTTGAAAATGTAAAAAATTCCGATTTTCCCCGAACTACTATTGTTATCATCGAGTATTATAATTTCTGTAGGGAGCCCGAAGCAGTTGAAATAGTTATTCATGGAAGCCTAAATTATTATTATTCAGAACTCTGTACAAATATTTCGCATAACGGTTTAACTGCTATACAAATGAACAAACTATAGAGAGCACTGTATGCATAAACCACTTAATTATTATGCACTTAAAATTCCGTTAAGGTTTCTCATTGCCGTTTTATCGTTGGCGTTAAACGCCCGACCATGGGGCTATTAACCTATGGAACCATTACGTCATTTTCCAACAATTATCATTAAGACTAGGTATATTTAAAACTATTAACTGCTGGACGTGAATCATAAACCAGGCTAGCCACGACTCCAAAAAGAGAAACCCGTATTACGAAGTTTCCAAAAAAGTAGCCAAATATTAAAAGAATCACTGTAAAAAAAAAAAAATGCTCTAATTTTTCATAATGCATAATAAGTACAACTGTTCGATTCACTTTTTATATTTAAAAACATTGCAATACTCAGTGCTGCGACAATAATTATGTTTAAAAATATTACAAAATACGCAAAATATCACAGATTTTAACAAACAATCTTCACGAGCAACTATAAAAAATAATTCGTACACTAAGACCCTTGTCTACGTCTTACACAGGGTGGTCGAATAAACTTTATCCTCTGATTCGGACCAAATTGGCAGAACAACTTCTCAAACTGTTTTCCTCTCGTCATAATCACTTCTGCGTGCTCCAAAAAATTTTTGTCTATTCCAACTGCTGTGCACCGGTTTTACAAAAGTTTCACATATAAAAATAAAATGTCGCCGACGTTGTGTCCTAACACTGTCGAACCTCAAGTCGAAGTTGGCCAATTGACACGAAAGACAGTTCTAAAACA